ATAGTGATTGTAACGGTTACCATGGCTACTGGACTACAAATGCCTGAAAGGAACAAAAAAGGAGAAAAACATTCAGAGTGGCAAAATAAACAATAATCGATATTCTCACTTATATAAATTTGTAGCGTCAAGAGATGATGGCAAAAAGAGGGAATTAGAGATGAGAAGGTTACTCGAAGGTTGCAAAGAGGTACTCGGAGCTGAGTTAGACTCGATGACCAGCCGCTGTTCGGAGAAATGAGCCCACAGACCGTACACGAGAGTTCATAGCGGTGAAACGCAAACATTTAACGTCGCGGTTTTCGCTACCTTGACTTTTCCAAGAGTTTGATGTATCATGGGCAATAAATTTGTAAGGAAACGTTACTAAAAATGCAGTGGTAAACCAAAATACGAGACGACAAAGTAGGTGGGTAACAATTATTATATTATCTGGCTCGCTGTACAAAGCTTAATTTTTTAGTTAATTTCTTAACTTTTGAAGTGGAGGACTTCGCGGCGGGGTTTTGGCGGGAACTGCGCGCGCGCAGTGCGTTTGACCGCTGTGGAACACGAGATAGCGACGGAAATCGAGTTGGTTATAATCAACTCATATATAACAACGCGGGTAATAATTTTATTTTATGTTTTTGCAGGGCCTCCATTGATAACAGTCCCTCCGACTGAAGGGTTACCCTGTCTAAATATCGATTATTATTATCGTCATTATTAGAAATGCTTTGAGACTCATCCCTCCTTTCAATGACTGGCCTCATGTCTCAAGGGGTGCCATGCTTCCCTCGGACCTAATGTCTTCGTCTTAGGTCCAATGTCTCAACTATAAGAAACATACCGTTCATTTGAGTGAAAATATCCTTTCACTCGCAGCCGCAGTGAGCACATTCTCCTGGAGTGAACATCTGACAGTTTCCATAACAATCTTCATCACATGCGTTCCCTTCGGTGCCCTCGTCCTGTTCTTTATCCTGAGCCTCAGCTGGACCTTCGCAGCCACAGTGAGCACATTCTCCTGGAGTGAACATGTTACAGTTTCCATAACAATCTTCATCACATGCGTTCCCTTCGGCGCCCTCGTCCTGCTCTTCATCCTGAGCCTGAGCTGGACCTTCGCAGCCACAGTGAGCACATTCTCCTGGAGTGAACATGTTACAGTTTCCATAACAATCTTCATCACATGTGTTCTCCTGATCCTGTTCAAGGGATTTTTTAACAAAGGACTGATCCATTTCATTGTGACGCTCAGTTGTCTCTACAAAAGGTAAGAAGACAGCCATTTATCAGTGAAGAAAAGCGAAATGTGCTCCATGTACGCTATTAACGAAGTGTAACATATCAGCAAATTGAAAACACAAATAAAACAAACCCTGAGGCTGCGCAGTACCTACAGTAAATTACCGTAACACAGTTGAATTGTTCGGATTCTTTAGTTGAATATATAAAAGTGGCAGATTTCGAAGTAATTAGAGCGCGCGCATTAAAAAAATGGCGGCTATTTTGAATGGAAAAGAAGTGCACATTTCGATACAGCAAAAACTACATTGTTCGTGTTATGACACATTACTATAAGTATTCGACCATGTTGGATTCATCAGTTGGACTATGCCACTGCTCAGACCAAACTGTTACATTCTATGATATTTTCTTTACACTGCTCATTGTATAAATAGGTGAAGAAAAATGTTCTTTACTAAATTTCAGCCTGAGGTATGTTCTTAACATGTTTGTAAGTTGTATAGCCTTTTTTCAGCCTCAACATTCTTATAAAAAAAAATGAAAAAAAAAGAGTGAATACAATAATAACATAGCACGTACCTTTACCGCGGCTATAAGATCGTGACGTCACGGACACAATCAGAAATGCAAGAATAACAAAGCAAATTGCCCTCATTGTTGATTGATAATCAAAGAGAATCTAGAGATAGATACAAAAAGGACATAAATTAAACTAATTATTGCATGATAAGAGTTGGCTTATCAGGCCGGCGCTTTAACTCCGGTTTCTATAGTATGAGCGACTAGGAGTATCGCTACTCCTCTAGAGCTCGGAATTTAGGTTCAGTAGTGATTGGATACCCGAGCTGGTGCCTTGGCGTGGCTGAGTGGCTTGTGTGCCGCAATGACTCTAAGAGCTATGCCGGCAGGGGTTTATACCCCTGGCACGGCCTCCCATGCCGGAAAGGTCAAAGAGTAGGGTCCAGTACTAAAGTCAGTCTCCCGGTCCTCCAGGTGTGGGGATTGGGCTTGAGGCTAACAACCAGTCATCCCGTAAAAAAACATTTGTTACGGAAACAACAAAAAACAGTGATTGGATAATAATAATAATCTAATACAAGAGAGTATAATCATACTCTTTTGTATAATAATAATAATAATAATAATAATAAAGTTTATTGGTAGTATTTCCACTAGGTGGCTCTTAATCTACAAAGACCTAAATTACAATAATATTGTTAACAATTAAAAACTAAACTACTGTTGGTATAATACAATTTAAAATCAGGTAAAAAACACGATGTGATAAAAATACAACTTCCAATTAATTAAGTCCTAATTACAATAACATGTAATTCAATTTATGATTACATGTAAAAGCACTAATTAGTTGCAAGCAAATTCTAACCTAAGTGTAATTCAATTTTAAAGGAGCTATGTCACGATATTTTAAGTCATTTCTTCGAAGTGCAAAATCACCTTCAAATTGAAGAAAGCCTCAAAATAATAGCTATGGTAGAAAAAACACCTAAGAGGTAGTGATAAACCAAACAGGAACAAGGATGGTTGAGAATGACGGATTGCGAACGGCGAACTTGAAAAAAAAATGCCCATTTTTTTTTTTCAAGATGCGCCATCCACGACGTAACTCCTTTAAATCATAGTTCATAGAGGGAAATGGTTATGAAGCCCGGCAAACTTCAAAGGAGCAAACAAAGAGGCCAAGATTTATGTTGGAAGGTCCATGACCGTGCACATCTTTTGTTTTGCGCTCATACACTATGCATGAATTACGTAATCGCAACGATTCTATTGGTTAGTTGCTTGAACACACGTAACCACCTATTGTATTTTGTCAGGTTTTGTGCACGGTCAACCCCCAAAATAATGAACAAAAACATATAACAAAGAACTTTGCCGGACTTCATAACCATTTCCTTCTATTAACTATGTTTAAATTTAACAGCATGTACCATGAAATTAAATATAAATCAAAAATCAATACAAATCCTAATTATGAACTATGAACTAACTATAGGTTAACTAATGGAACAAAACAAAACAAAACAAAAACAGCGCAGTTCCAAATTAATCTAATCAAGAACGCGCCTTCACTTCCAATAATTTATTTGTCTCCGAGATAAAGATATACACCTAATTGCAATAACATTCGCGGATTTTAATAATTCTCAAAGCAGTGACACACTACGGTTTGGGACTTTTCCTTCGCATAGTATAATTCTGCACATGCAACAGTATGTTGTTCTCACTGAAAATCTATGATGATTAAGCTAATTAATTCCTATTTGGCTTTTTCCATTTTTTCTTTTTTATATGACAACGTTTTTGCAATTAGGTGTATATATGTATATAGGATAAACCTATTTAGCTTGGTTTGTTTGTTGTCCTATTGTTACTCTGTAAAATAATAGTCAAACAATTGTATAAAGAATATCGCGTGATATATGATCTGAATTGGTCAATTTATATGCGAAGTTATAAATGGGTCTTTTATCATTATTATCAGCATGGTAGTCAAGCGTGTAAATATTTTGGCGCGTTGACCAAAGAAACACACAATATAACTGGACCTAATAATGATCTGAAATGGGCAATTTATATTCGAAGTTATAAATATGGGTCTATTATCATTATTATCAGCATGGTAGTCAAGCGTGTAAATATTTTGGCGCGTTGACCAAAGAAACATTGGACCTGATAATGATCTGAAATGGGCAATACTGAAATAATTAGAGCTATAAGTGACAGCCAATGTGATTTAGAAGCTTTTGCCATTGTTTCATTGTTGTTAAAAGTCCAACGCCCTAACCACAAAGCCACTATGTATACCGCTTGTTTTATTGTTATACCGCATAAAAATTATAATGGCTCCGTTAGAGATCAGATAGATAGATCAGAGATTGTTATATGCATCAATGATAAAAGCAACTCAATAACGTTGCTCATGATATATATATATGATCATCTTTCTTTTAATTCGTGAACAAAAGAATTGGCGTAACTCGCGCTATTTCACTCTAACACAAAACATGTTTTGTTTTATTCAACGGATCTCCCGCCAAAGGAATAGTTGGTAATTTTAAAAGACTCATTCGACATGCACCATACTATCTTCCATTTCGACCAACATTTATAAGCCGTTTTTGAATTTAGCCAGCGGAGAAAAACTTGAACTTGTTTGCACAGTTTGCACAAAAAAAAAGTTTTTCTTCTGATATTTTCCTTCTCTCTTTTCCTTTCCCTTTACTCCCCCTTTCTTTTCTTGCTATCTTCGGCGCTTGATGCACTTCCTATCAGCTGGAAAGGTTTTGACCTAACCTTTTAAGGGGGCTGAAAAATGAACCTGGAAGTATGTTGGGTGAGAGAGCCAAATTTGCCACATTGCCCAGCATAACTCTGGAAAAATTTGTTAGATTTCCAAAATTGATGCACGGTTGCAAAGATCCATCCTTTCTGCATCAGATGCGTGTCAAACTAATATTGTCACGTGTTAATTGATGACGTCACAATGGCTTTGATGTGTAAGACTCCAAAGTGGACATATATGTCCTGTGAGCATGTTAAGGGTTAATATAATCTAGAGCGCGCCTTCGCTTCCAATCATTTCTTTGTCTCCGAGATAAATATATATATGGACTACATATAGGATAAACCTACTTAGCTTGGTTTGTTTGTTGTCCTATTGTTAATCTGTAAAATAATGATCAAACAATTGTATATTCCTATCACGGGTATATAAACTCACAACTGATCTGCTCCCAACGTGTGGCTTCATAGCTCAGTTAGAAGAGCATCGCACTAGTAACGCGGAAGTCACGGGTTCAAATCTCGTTGAAGCCAGAATTTTTTTCTGGCTTAAAAATTGCAATTGCTTAAATTGCATTCATAGCTGCGATGATCATTTATTCATTTCATGTATAAAGAATATCGCGTGATCTGAATTGGTCAATTTATATGCGAAGTTATAAATGGGTCTTTTATCATTATTATCAGCATGGTAGTCAAGCGTGTAAATATTTTGGCGCGTAGACCAAAGAAACACACTATAACTGGACCTAATAAACATCAGTCTATATTATCTTTATTCCGAGCTGCACGAATTGTGTGCAGAAAGCTGTTGTTGATCATGACGTTAATAAAATTGATCAAAACATCGTGTTCGAGATGGTGTGCGCCAAAATATCAATTGGGTGCCCTGCCGTACTATCAAAACCACAAGAGTGGTAAAAGGTCGTAAAACTGATTGAATTCCAGGCGACTGAATTATTATCAGGTGATAGCCATTTTGTTGACCACGCGATGGGTAAAGTTGAATTTGCGATGATCGAAGTCCAACTCGCATCCGTTTAAGCATAAAAAAAATTGCCTTCATGTCCTCAGATAATGTTTTATTTTTCTTCTAAAACATGACGTCTGAAACTTGCATATATAGGGTGAACTTGATGATTTTTATCCAAGAAAAACTCTAACTGAGTGCATCCAAGGCGATAGTTATTTAGTTTATCGATCGCGTGGTCAACAAAATGGCTATCACGTGATAAGAATACACTCACCTGGAGTTGAAATTTGAAACGACCGTTTTACCACTCTAGTTTGAAAACCCGTTCAATCATTCCTCGTCAGTACCGCATCTTACTAGTACTTTAGTAAACTACAACACTGAAATACTTGAGCTTTTTCGCTTTGTGCACAGTTAAATTCAGGTTTCGCCAGGTTTCGTCAGACAATAAACAATTATCATTTTAATGCACATTCAGGTCTCTATTATCGAGAACCGACAATGAGAAACTGTTTGGCAAAATGTACTTTGTCTTCCGCGAGCGATCGCGCCAGTCTCACCTCCAATCTCGTGCCCGCGCTCTGTTGCACATAAGGCACGTTAGTTTATGTACATACTCTTATAATATGATTGACGATGAAAATCAACCACTGAACTTTTGCGAGGAGTTTGAATTGTAAAAGAATTGTTCCAAGATTTTTTCGGACCAAAATATCAATTATAACCTTGTTGTATATCTTGCTATCTCTGTTAAAAATTTCAACTGAAACACCACTTTCAACTTCGGGGAGGGTTGATTAAAGACAATAGATATTCGATGAGATGAGATGATTTTGATAGCCGAGACATGGCACACGTCGACATACCCGGACTACTTTTAAACATAGCATTAGCCTTACCTGCAAAGGCTTGGAAGTTGTGGCACGGTTGAAGAAATGAGTCGAATGGTAGATTATGTTGAATTCGCTTTCTTTGTGATAACTAGCACTTAAACAACGTCATTGACAGCGTAACCCGCCCTAACCCGCCTACTTACTGAAAAACGATTTGATTGGACGTCATTTCGACGCGTATGTAGCTTGGTTTGTCATGGTTTGTTGCCCCATTTCAAAGCAGTGATTGTCTGTGAGCATTCGTAACTGCCACTTGGACATTCCTTTCATAACTCTAATAATACCAGTATACAACTCGGCACACAACTCTCAAATGAGAACATTTGAATTGCCTTTAATTTTCTTCCAACTGGCTGTATTCTCTATATAGCAGTGAATAAAGTTCGCCTAAGTATAATTATAGCTAAGTGACAGTTAATATGATTTAGAAGCTTACGCCATTGTTCCATTGCCAACGCCCTAAACACAAGCCATCACGTCTCCCGCTTGCAATTGTTTTATTAGGGCCATTTATACGGGAGAAAATAAGACGCGTCAAGACGCGAACTGATCGTATAAATAGTACAAAATAAGCGTTCGTGTCTTATTTTAGACGCGACTTAAATAAGGCACATCTTATCTTAGAACAGGGAACAGGGCTTCATCGTATAAATGCTTTCTCGTCCTAAATAAGACGTGAACAATAAGTGCGCTGTATCAAAAATAAGACGCGAACCATTATACGTGATCCCCGCTTTGCGTCTTATGTAGGACGCGAACGTATAAACGGTACAGTTCGCGTCCTATTTAAGTCGCGTCTTAGATAAGACGCGTCTTATTTTCTCCCGTATAAATGGCCCTATTGTTTATACCGCAGACTACCGCAGACAATGGCACCGTTAGAGATACTATAGTTTTGAACAACTTAGCTTTGCGCTACAAAGTTGTCGTCTGTTGCAAATCGCGAGCAGAAGTTCAGTCTTGTCTTGCTGATTAGAAATTTGTCTACAATCTCTGAATAAAAGAGAATTGAATGAATGATATGCTCATTTCAATCAACTCCCTCCGGCTAGCTTTTAGTCAGCGAGTCACTACTGTTATATGCATCAATCTGATCATCTTTATTTCGTGAACAAAAGAATTGGCGTAACTCACGCTATTTCACTCTAAGGTCCTCTGACACAAAAACTTTTATATTTTATTCAACGGATCTCCCGCTAAAGGAATAGTTGGTAATTGTAAAAGATTCATTAGACATGCACCCTACTATCTTCCATTTCGACCAACGTTTATAAGCCGTTTTTGAGTTTAGCCAGCGGAGCAGAACTTGAACTTGTTTGCACAGTTTGCGACACGTTAATTAATTTTGTACTATTTATACGATCAGTTCGCGTCTTATTTAAGTCGCATCTTAGATAAGACGCGTCTTATTTTCTCCCGTATAAATGGCCCTAATAAAACAATTGCAAGCGGCAGACGTGGTGACCTGTGTTTAGGGCGTTGGCAATGGAACAATGGCGTAAGCTTCTAAATCATATTAACTGTCACTTAGCTATAATTATACTTAGGCGAACTTTATTCACTGCTAGAGAATACAGCCAGTTGGAAGAACATTAAAAGGCAATTCAAATTTTCTCATTTGAGAGTTGTGTGCCGAGTTGTATACTGGTATTATTAGAGTTATGAAAGGAATGTCCAAGTGGCAGTTCAGTACGAATGCTCACAGACAACCACTGCTTTGAAATGGGGCAACAAACCATGACAAACCAAGCTAAATACGTCAAAATGACGTCCAATCGAATTGTTTTTTCAGTAAGTAGGCGGGTTAGGGCTACCCTGGGTGCCAGAGGCTTTTCTTGCGCGGTTTCCGGTTTCAAATCTCTCTTATGGCCCGCGCGAAAAGCCTCTGGAGCAGGGCGCTATTGCTTTGATAACGCCGAGCCAATGGCAAGCCTGCTTAAATGGATTTAGTCCAGAATTTGGACTAGATTGCTGATTGGCTCCTAACGACTCCCTAAGGTATTTTGAATCCAATAGTCTCTGTGATTGGTTGACAAGAATAGTACGCTGCGGGGAAAAAAGCCTGTGAATGACGAGGCGATGAAGAGATAGAACAGTGATCGATAGAACAGTGATTGCTGTTGTTGCATGTTGTTGAATAATCGCGGATTCTGATGGAAGTTTGCAGAAAGCACTTGAAGAGGCCTTAGCGATAGTTTTAAAAACGTTCGACGGTGTCGACGAATTAAGCGCCGAGCAGACAGATGGCATTATTAATTTTATTCGTCGCAAGGACGTTTTAGCGGCCGAAGGCTTGTTGATATCTGCACATGCTGCACCGCGAGACTTTTTGATGCCCAAACCAGGAGAGCTTGAACATCGCTTAGTTCGCGCATGCTGTTCGTCTGCTTTCCAGTGGGATAAATTTTCATGATACCGCTCTTTAAAGGAGGTTAACTCCTTGAGAGTTGCCTCATATCGTTCGATTAAAACACTTCTTACAGAGAATTCGCGGGCCGACTGAAAGATCATTGTCGATCGCCAAAAGCTCTGAAACTCTACCTGAAATGTTTAGTTTTCTGGCGTTTTCCGAACGTATCCACCATTAACCACCACACCAGCTTCACATAATCGGCACGATAGCGAAGACTTCGAGGTAGGGACCCTTTTTTGCAGGAGTTGTTTTCGTTCAACGAATACCGCCATTTGACACCTTGTAAAACTATCTGCTGTCATATCTCCCACGTGCCATTACATGTGATCACAGTAGGACACTTACGCTGTGATTGGTTTAAATGTAATACGTTTAAAAATGATCAAAGTTCAACGGGAACGGTAAATCAATGCGCCCTGTGCCAGAGGTTTATTTCTCGCGGCTCCGCCGCTCGCCGGGGCGTCGTCGGCCTTCGGCCGACTTCGGATCTCGACGCGACGGAGAAATAAAACCTCTGGTGCCCAGGGTAGGTTAGGGCGGATTACGCTGTCAAATGTAATAAACCCCTCTCTCTCTCTCTCTCTCTCTCTCTCTCTCTCTCGCTACTCAACACCAACACATCAATCATTTCCTCCTATAGTGTCGATGTATTTCATTTCATTATATAGCGAAAGAATATGTTTGCCATACACTTGATATTTGTCTCTACACAAATATATTTACCGTATGCATTTGATAAATCGACAGCAACCCTCAAATGACACATCCATAAATTATTTCCCTCCCCTCCCTTCCTCTCCCCACCAGTCTATAACTAATGACTGGTTCCACTCTTGCTGGTTCCTAAGTTACCACTTTACAAGTTTTTGTACTTTCATAGAGTGTTCTCTTGGTAAAAGAAGCAGACAGGGATTTTTTTGGTCGATCTTTGGCAACTGGGTGGATTCCCCATGCTACCGCCGTCCGTACGGAACTCCAAGATTATTAAGATTTCGTCAACAAAGAACTTTATTTGCATTTTTTCCACTACACATCATTATAGAATGTCTAATCTAAATGCTGTCCGGCAGTGCTTGTAACGGTTACCATGGCTACTAGACTACAAACGCCTGAAATAAATAAATAAATTGAAGAGAAAACATTCAGAGGAGAAAATAAATAATAATCACAGAAGTGGAAAGTACTGGGAAGGTTACATATTCCCTGTATTGTCTCCCCTCCTTTCCATCTTCTGAAGTAGTATGAGTTTTATTGT